GTTTTGTTACATGGGTAGTTTTAAAAACAGTTTGTTCATTCTAGTTGTAAAATTTAGACTATGATATGAAATATAACATCTTTTTTCTACTCCCACCTTTAAAACGCCCTTTATCGTACATGTTTCCATGACACTAAGTGACCTTTTAAATACACAAGTGGTGGCTTTACGGCGCTTTAGTCACGGGCTGAAGTTAGTTTTAAGTTAGTTGACAGTTGTCAAATGTCATACAATCGTTAAAATAAAGTGCCTTTCTTGTAAAATAATACTAAATGTGAAAATTATTTTATTATCTCAATACAAAAATACAAAAATATTAAATAGTTTCTCAAGGCCAATATTTGAAAAGTTTATATGAACATTGTACTGACCTTTTAATTTCGCCGGCAGTAAACTATAACTTAAATTCGGACACGGACTCTACTGTAAAGTCCTCATAAAACATTTCCTTTACTTTCACTGTGAAAAACTGTCAATTTTCAAAATACATTTTAATTTATAACCTTTATAATTGTGTTTATAAAATGTAAAAATGTGACATTTGACAGTTTCCCCTGTTGTTTCATAGATGGCGCTCTATAAAAATTTTTGATTTAAATCATTTTAAGAAAATAATAGGTATTTGTCGTAGAAAAAGTATAGTATGCACCTCTTTTATAAACTTTTCTATACTTCTATACTCATTAACTTAAGCACTCGCTCCCAAGCTCGCTAGTGCCTAAATTAAATTCGTGTATAAAATGGCGTTTATCAAACTTGATACATAATATATTATCTACTCCCCCATTGACTTTATGGCGTTTTAGTCACGGGCTGAAGTTGGCAATATTAGCTTTATTATAAATTTGTAAAAAGTGAGGTTAAATCCGTTGACAGATGTCAAATGCATAATAAATAAAATTGGCTTTAATTTCTTTTGGGAGTTCGTCGTAAATAAATTATAGAATGCAACTCGTTTTATAAACTTCTCTAGACACTCGTTTTCATTAAACACTCGCTCGCAAGCTTCGCTCGCGCCTAATAAAACTAAAATTATTATAATTATAATATAATAAATTAATCTTTTAAACCAATTTCATAAAATTTCTTTGTTCTTTTTAGAAGCTTTAAGCCGTAATTTTCGTTTTTCTTCTAATACAAATTTACTTATACCAGAACACATTGCAAACTGCGAACATAACCCAATTGTATATGTTTTATATTGCCGCAGTCCTCTTCAAACCAAGTTTTTGTCATTAATAAGGTTTAGTCAGTTATAAATGTATTTATGGGTATATTTAATACATTTTAAAAATAATGTAATAAACACATATTTAAGTATATGTAAGATAACCTACAAATCTTTGCTATGTTGCCAAATTGGTTTAACTTAAATCAGTGGATATGCGTAATAGTTAATATAAATAAATCAACGTTTCTGCATACGGCCCTAAGTGATCTTTTAAAAACACATTGACAAGTTGAGGCTTTATGGCGCCTAGACACGGGATGAAGTTATAACTTCAGCCCGTGACTAAAACGCCATTAAGCCACAACTTGTCAATGTATGCTATAGCAACAGGTTTTTTAGTCATGGGCTGAAGTTAGTTTTAAGTTCGTTGACAGTTGTCAAATGTCATACAATCGTTAAAATAAAGTGCCCTTCTTGTGAAATAATAATGTGGATTTTATTAGTATCTTAATACAAAAATAAAAAGTATAAAATAGTTTCTCAACGCCAAAACCTATTTAAAAAGTGTATATGCGACTAAAATGGAGTTTATCAAACTTGATATATCAAGTTTGATAAACTCCATTTTAAAATATCTTGACCATTTTAAAATATCTTGACTAATTCATTTAACACGCTAATAGTATATTATGTATACATAATATACTATTAGCGTGTTAAATGAATTAGTCAAGATATTTTAAAATTACAAATTTATAGCCATTTGAAGAAAATCAAGCGCCAGGAAACTAAGAATTAAACATAAAATATACTGAAATCAACGTTTATTATAGTTTATCCGAGTTTATCCGAGTTTATCTATGCATGCGTTTAGCTGCCGTGCTAAGCCAAACCCCCGTATCCGCAATATTAAGTATTAAAGGAAAAAATATAATTTTTATTGTTTTTAACAATGAAAATGATCTTTTGTCCCTTATATCTCAATATTGTACATACGGGGGTTGGCTTACCAGGGCAGTATGCATATATGCATATACCTTTAGATATCTATAGATACTTAGATGTTATTTAATCTATATTAATACATATCGAAAAAAATAGATGATAATTTTGTATACTTTACCTATACTATATGATATGATATGGATATTTTGTATAATTTACCTATAGATATATCTATCTAAGTGAGGTAAGACCTTAATAGTCTTGAATAGGAACTTTAAATTTGTTGTAATAAAAAATTTGTTCTTGATAAATTATTGCTAACAATATCTGTTAGCAAAATAGTAGTTTAACAAAAAAGGTTATAAATTGCAAGGATACTGAGACCAGAATACTAAGAATTTTTAAATAGTGCAATCAATTTAAATCGATTAAATCGATAATATTATCTTTTTTTGTTTACTTCATAAGTAAATTCTTACCAGGATCCTGAGAACTTGACTGATCGCAACCAACTTCTAAACGACAAGAGACGTTAGGCATGGGGGATTATGTATTTTCGTGATAAAAAAATCGTAGTTTGTAGAACTAGCCACATCAAGAAATATTTTTTCTCTCAAAATGTTACGTAATTCAAAATCATAAATTTCGAAATTCAAAAAATTATTGCGAAGATTCTAGGATCAGTAAATAAATACTTGTCAAAAATCTTTCAAAATTTATGATTTTGTAAACAAATCGAACTAAAAGCAGTTCTGTAAACCCAATTTGAAGTAGCCTATTAAATAGGTATACCGACAGACAACCAATTGTTTTAACTACAATAAAACTCATTTGTTTTGATGTTTTTTTATTAGACGGGTGGTCTATTAAACTTCCGGACGTCTAAATTACATATTTCTAAGGGCAAAATTCCCGCGCGTTCGCGTTAATGTTTGTATGCAGTTTGAGTGGTGACAAGTTTATTGTTTCAAAAAGCGAACAATACGTAACGACCGATCTGGCGATTCGGTATGGCAGAATAGGAGGAACAAATACAAAAGCAAAAAAACAAACCCAACGAAGTGAAGTCTACAATGCGTCCGTCGAAACGACATATACGTACACACATGCTCGAAATAACTAAGGCCCATGCGTTTTTATCAAACAGGAAGTGTACCAATCTAAAATTATATTATATGTTTTATACTCTATGTAGAATATGCAGTAGCATACCACTTTCTGTATCAATCATTCTTTAGATCTCTGTTTATTAAATTATCTGCTATTTTAATTAAGTAATAAAACAGGATTTACTTAAGAAAACTTTAATTAATTTACTATTACGATAATTTTTTATTAATAAATATACGAGAAGTATCTGCCACTAGTAGTGGTCCACTACTCTTTTGCTCCGACATACTCTACTTTTCGTCATCATAATCTCCTAATTTTGCCCACCTCATTTCAAATTTTGCACACCCCTACTTCATTTCTCACGGTGTCCCAAAAATTTCTTCCTAGCCCCTCCACTGAAGAAATTTACTTTTTTTATGCTATTCTGATCCTCTAATTTTGCACACCTCATTTTAAATTTTGCACACCTCTCCATCCACCCCCACGGCCTCCCAAAAAATTACTTACTAGACCCCCCACTGGCAAAATCCACTTTTTTATGCTATCGTAATCCTCCAATTTTGCACACCTCATTTCAAATTTTACACCTTTTTCAAATCTAGCCTACCCCCACATTAACGCCCTCGTCCACTGTGTTTCCAAAAAAGATTTGAAAAAGGTGTAAAAATTGAAATGAGGTGTGCAAAATTGGAGAATCAGGATAGCATAAAAACAAAGTGGATTTTGCCAGTGGGGGGGTAAGTAGTTTTTGGGATGCCGTGGGGATGGATGGAGGGATGTGCAAAATTTGAAATGTGGTGTGCAAAATTAGAGGATCAGAATAGCACAAAGAAAAGTGAATTTCTTCAGTGGAGGGGCTAGGAAGAAATTTTTGGGACACTGTGAGGAATAAAGTAGGGGTGTGCAAAATTTGAAATGAGGTGTGCAAAATTGTGCAAAATTAGGAGATTATGATGACGAAAAGTAGAGTTTGTCGGAGCAAAGAGGGGGCAAGCGTCAAGTTTGCCCCCCACCACATGATTTTTCTTGACATTTCTAAAGTGGGTGTGCAAAATTATGATGTATAATAGAGGGGGTTTGCACGATTGGGGGGGGGGGCAAACTTGACTGACCCTCAGATGTTTGCCCTTAAAATTTAATAGCCCATCCAAAAATAAATAGAGAAATAAAATTGAGTCATACTTAAGTACCAAGTGACTGGCAAAACAATATAAAAATAAAAAAATAGTTCCTTGGCACAAATCTTATTTATTTTAAACAACATACCTACATAATAATATTATGTGCACCAAATCAGGCATATCAAATATATTTCCCGATATTTTCTAATTAAATTTTGTTGACGACCAAAAAACTAAATGGCGTAATCGATTTAGCCAAGCCCTTATGCAATTTTATACCATGCGGGATCTAATTATTTACGAAGGCCGTCATCCTTAAAAAAAATCATCAATTTCCGCTTACTTTTAAGGTATTGTTTATAAATAGAACCGATATTTTAAAGATCAAATGGCACGCGAAAGTAAATAACAACTCGTAATGTTATACGCCTGTAAATCGGTATTCGGTTTTTATGTATAGAAATAAACAAGTATGTTTTATTTTGTAATATGTTAATGTTGAAAAATGTAGGTAATGTAAGATTAGCATAAATTTTTTCTATGGTTGTCCTTTTCTATTAAATTTTTGATAAAGGTTTACAAACTTTTGTTGTCCTATCACATAAGATTTCACTCCATTGTTAGCAATATTCAGAGCATTATTCATTTACGTTATCTTTCGAGTCATACGAATTAGGTACAATCATTACTTTTTCAGGTTTAAATATAGCTTCGATTGTACTACATTTTTTGTTTTAACCATGTAGTTATGCTTACAATGCTATTATTATTCAGAAGAGTGATTAATGCGTTCTTAGAAGTCGAGCTGTCAATTACAATACTGTTTAACATAATGCATTTAATATAACAATTAAATTTATCTGTAGAATGGATGTAAAATAATAATAAATATTTACCAGGATATTGCGATTAGATTAGATATCTTAATAAAGATAAAAATAACGTGCCCTGCCGAAATTTTACCAGTTTTCAATATTGTGTATCCCGATCATTTTTATATTTTGTAACAGTTTTGATTTGTGATTTGAGTTAAGAAAAATATAACATTTATTGAATTATTGAAAAACGAGCTTTAAACTCAAGCAAATTATCATCCCAATATACCTACTCAGAGTTAGTAGCCTACTACTAGTATGCTACTCTATAAAAGTTATAAAGTTATAAAGTGCTATTTTAGTTCCACCCTTACATCCAAACTAAGATGTCCCATAAGCCAACTGAATGGCTTGTGCGGGTTAGGGGTAGGAACGGACCGACGGCTTAAAGTTCCCTCCGAAGGAGAAAATATTCATACGGGAGCTAGCTATAACTTTATTGAATGAAAAAATGGTTTCTTAAAAATCTTCCTTATATCACCCATTCCACAAATATTGTTTTAACCTATTAAGATGATATAAACATGTATATAGGCTTAAATTAACTTCTACTAAAAAATTTGTATGTATAAAAAAGTTATAAAAAACGTTGATGATTAGTTTTTAAATTATTAGGCATTTAAGTTAAAAAAAACTCGGCAACGCTACAAAATGCATACCTATTTCAAATTGGTTGTTAAAATAAGGCATCTGAAATTGACATGGTTTGGTTTGATATATATATAGGTATTATGTATATGATTTGAGATATTATGCTTCACATAAAAAAGTGCCATTAACGTTTGAATACAAATAATTGAGGTTATATCGAGTTATATATCTGTTAGTTTAACGCTAATTTCGTCTTATTTTCTGAAAATAATACAATTTAGGTACCTATCTTTTTGTCTATACAGTTCTTAATTTGAACACAAAAAATACATGTATTATATTAAGCATTACAATTGACGTATTAATACCATTAATGTATCTTTTTGTGTATAAAGGGTTAATTTTGAACATAAAAAATATATACAGTTCATTTTTTTTTATCTGGACTCGTGTTTTTTGTTAGGTTGGTTAAGTTAAGTTAAGTTTGACTTAGTATTTTTAGTATTTAAAAATGGTACTTCTGCTAAAGAATTTAATTAAATACATTGACACTGTCAAATTGACAATAATATTTATTATTGATAATTTACTTGTCAATTAGGGGCCGTCCATAAATGATGTCACACACTTAGGGGGGAGGGGGGTCGTCGAAAATGTGACAGTTTGTGACAGCCGGGGGAGGGTTTGGGAGGTTGTGATGTCACAAAATTAGAAAAATATTTTGGAATTTAATAATTAATAATGGTTATAAACTGGATATTAAGAATTTATCTTAAGCAAAAATTTCGTGGGGTAGACCTTACATAAAAATTAAATCAGTGTGACGTGACGCCAATAGGGAGGGGGCTCCCATAATTTGTGACACTGTGACAAGTGGGGGAGGGGGTCAAAAATATTTAAAAAACCTGTGACATCATTTATGGACGGCCCCTTATAAATAAAAAGATAACTATGTCAAAAATAATAGCAACGACTCGAGCAACGAATTCGAATGTAAAAGCCCTTTTGAGGTCAAAACTTTATTTTGATGAAATTATGCCAAATGATACAATGGAAGAAAAAGTACATCGCCTTATGGACATTTTTGGAGTAAAAAAGTAACGAATTTGATTTTATAAATATTACATCACACATTATTTTTACATTATTCACCACTGGACAACATTTACGTTCACAAAAAATTTTAATTTCTTTTACCTATATAAATTCTTTTCAAAGCGAAGATTATTATCCCGAGTATTATCCGCTAGGAAAACTTTATCTTTTTGGCCGTAAAGCAACCCATATTTAACTACTTTTTTATATGATTTTACTCATCCAAGCACCACCAAAGCCAAATTAATTGCATTTTAACTACGAATTTCGACAACTCAACTTGACAACTGCACACTGTAACCTACAATAATTTATACATAACCACAATTAGATTTATAACTAGCTTAGTTTGTTTTAATCAATGCGACCAACTTAACAACTTTTGCTGCAGTCCAGATAAAAAAAATGAACTTTATAACTTTAATTTTTTTAAATTTAAATGTCAAGGTGTGACTTTTTTACGAGGGTAATAATACCTACTACTAGAACGTAGAGGTACTTAAAATGACTTCCTATGCCTTCTAGATCTTTGTAATTTGATGCAAAAAACTAAAATGTAAATAAAAAGAAACGTGCCCAGTAGCACTTTTCTTGCTCTAGTTTAGCATAATAAATTATTATTAGTAATAAGTGCAATTAAATAAATAACCTATAGGTTACCTGCCTTATTAACTGAAATAATGTGCAAATTTAAATGGTTTTGAATTTCAAAATACACCTTTGGAGTCATCTGTAAATCATTTCACGCTGGAAGTGGGGAGGGAGGGGTTTGAAGGACTGTCACGATTTGTCAAGCCCGATGGGGCGAGTTCTTTTAAACGTCACGTGAAGAAGTAATTCGAATAAATTGCTTATTGTTTTCATTTTTATTTAGATTAATATAACGAAAACAAAAAAAATAGGGGGAGGTCCGATTATTCGTCACAGGGGAGGGGAGGGGTCAATTTTGATCTTTTTTTAGCGTCACGAGATTTATGGACGGCCTCTTTGTGTTCATAAATTTCATCAAATTGCGAATGCACTAAATGTTTCTTGGTTGTTCATGTGGGGAATCTAATCACCCATAATTTGCATTATTTTTTATTAAATGGGTGTTATTAAAAAATAACAAATATATATAATTAATACTTATTAATAAATAATTTTATTTAAAATAGTTACCTACATACCTACGTATGATAATTTTCTCATGGGAAAAAAACTTATTTCATGTACCTCAATTTTTATGTTGGTAGATACGTGGTACCTACTGGATTAGTGTAAAACAACATTTTTTAAATGTTCCTGTTAAAAATAAAAAACGCTGTTTTCATAGAATACAAAATAAAAATAGCAAAACCTGTTGTAATGAAGAGCTCAAGTGTTGAATTACTTAATAATTGTTTGAAATAAAGGTTAATTTCTACATGACCTGACGTGATAAAGAATGATTCCACTATTATTAGGGTCCATGAGTAACCAGGTTTATAATTAGCTACACTGCATAAACTAAAAAACGGACCAGCAATTATTTTTTTTATTGGACAGCCTAAATTAATAGACATCTAACCAGTAGGTATATTAAAATTATTTTAATTAATCTAAAAAAATCTAATAATACCCATATAAAACATAAGTAAAGGTTCTTGCCTGTGTGTCGTTGAAGGTGCAGTTGACCTTTTTCCACGGTATCGCTATTTTGGTGCAATTACATCCCTGCAGGTCACAAATATCGAAGCCCCGTTCACTGTTCACACCACACCGGGACAATAAAACACAAAATAATAATAACAAAGGCACAACGAGAACAAATCTCGGCCCCATGTTTTCTGCACATTTCTGTCAGCGCGTCCGCAAAACCGTTTCCAGCTATTTTTATTTCAGAACCGAGGAACTTGTGCAGACATGTCCAAACAACCCCATCACATGATTTTTCGTACAGGTTCGTCGATTGTTGACGTTACGCCTCGCTATACAACACTGACTTGATTAAGCAGAATCTGCTTACGGTACTTGAGTACCATTACCGCGTTGCCACGTTGTGCATTTTTTACCTTAAACAGGGACATATTAGGTTTAAATTATTTCAATACTACTTTACAAAATATATAATTAATTTTTTATAGTAGAGTACTTCAATTTAAAAAAGTCATGACAAAATTAAGTAAACACAACTAATTATATTTTTTAACTATTAATACAATTATTGTTTGTGATGAGCCAAATTTTGTCAAATCTGCCTCTATTATCAGAATACCTATACCTAGGTATTCTCATGGTACTTACAAGTAGTTTTCTTGTGCTATGGGTATTCTGAGCGAAGAACGCTGTATACATGTGCCACACGGTGAAAGTGAAACCGTATCTGTCCACTTAATCTTAATCTTAGAAGAAAATAAGAATAAGAAAATAATCGGAAAGTTACCGTACACTTAAAAAAATAAGGTACCTAATTAGGTATATTATAATATAGTATTAATACTTGATAAAATAATAATATGCCGGCCGCCCCTATGGGACCGACCGCCCAGGCATCCGCCCCCTAATAATTAAGTAAACTTATTATGATGGTTACAGAAATAGTAAGGACTACCTATGTTATATTTAAAAATATAGGTAATACACAATAAATGTTTCAAAAATATTTTTTGTTATTTTGACAATAAACTTAAATTAAACAAATTTTAATTTTATTACAAGCATTGAGTAAAGTCTTTACTCAATGTTACAAGTAAAATAAAAGTGACATCGCTGCACATAGTTATCCCATGTCTGTTTTTCTATCTCGCTCGCTTTTATGAGATGTTGTATAGTACCTTCTCTTTTATTTTATGACTGAGAGCCAGCAGCGTAGATCTGTTCTGTTTATGCTCGAACTTCGAGCTTAGTATACTTCCTATACTGCTTTAAAGCAACGGAGTAAAATTGATTGTGATCTGAATATTTTGGTTGATGGTTTCCTGTGGCTACCAAAATTATGTAGATTTTGTTCAGTATTTAAATTTACGTTTTTACTAGTGAAGGAACTATTTAAATGCACATTTTAAAAGTTTTCAAATGCATTGGAATACAAACTTTTTGGCGTCTGTTTTTCAAACAACAAATTTTTATAACCCGTTTTAATTTTAGCGTTAAAAACTTTATTAACACTGCTTAAAGAAAGCTAGGTATCTAATCGCTAATGTTTATTAACAAAAATGATGAGTAGGTACCCACTGTATAGAATCAAAAGAGGATATGTCCTCTGCGACGTCGCGCTAAGCAAAAAGGTGATAACTACCCAAGCAGCATTTTTGGTTCCAAAAATCATTACCAAAGTGGTGATAACTTTAAATTAGTTAAGTATACTAAACAGCTAATTTAATTTTTACTTAAAAGTAATTCTAACTTTTAAATAGCAATATTTTGTAACAGAAACTTTATTCTTTCCTTAAATGGTTACTATAAAGTAATAAACATTTAAGTAAAACTTGGTTGCCCCCAAGAAGACTTTGCAACTTTAAAAAAGGTGTTACAAGTAAAAAAACTTTCAAGTAAATTTAATTTGTAGCAGTCACTTTTGGTTGCTACCTAAAGATTACATTATAATTATTTTTACTTTGTAGGGACTATAGTCCCTTTGCAAGTTAAAATATAGAAACTGGAACATGAGTTAAAAACTACAAAAAAAATAAATTAAGGTGGAAAAAAACTTTAAAGTAAGTAGCGAAAACTACTTCAAAGGAAAATGCTCCTTATCGGCCATTTTTTACTGCAAAGTACCACGTGGTAATGTAAATAATAAATTAGTTTAATTGTTTGTAAATGGTTGTTTACTACTTAAATAAATAAATAAATAAATTTTGTTGGTAATAGACGGTATTAGTAATTAAATAAAAAATTAATAATAAACATTAAGATTTTTTTATTTATAAACATTATTAAATAAATAATTTAAATTAAACAATTGTTTACCTATACTTAAATATTGATGAAGCGCATTTATCTTACAAAAACTAAATTCAACAGTAAAATTTAACATTGAAACGCCAATTCCGTAAGTAGTGGTTCCATTTTAAAAAGGACAACAAATAAATAAAAGTAATTATAACGCTCTAGCAACGATATTGAAACGTTCTAGTAACGTAGCAGCTACCTACGTTCCAAATAGTAGAAGGGTTTATAGCTAGTTACATATTTGATACCTTTTTGGAACTCAATAATTGTTCCCCAATTTAGTCGTAACTTAGTAATATAAAGAGACCGGCGACTGTTGCAAAACACTTTTAGGTTTCTTCAATAGTCCCATATAACAAATACTTAAATTTTTGCTTGGGTACAGTATTAGTAATACTGTATTACCTTCTTAATATTGTAATACAATAACTGTATACACCTATAGTAAATGTTAGCAAGGCAAAGGACATGTCCGCTTTTGATTCTACAGGACTCAAATATTTATTTAGTAATCTATTAATAGTAAAAGATCAAAACATTAGTACATATTTATTTATTTCTTTGAAATATAGGTATTAATAATTCTATAAAATCTTATCAAATAACAATTAATAAAATTTTTTAACAAACAGGTCATTATGCAAATACTAAAGCCTATTAAATTCGAATAAAGTATTCTCTACCCTACCTTCTCCAACCCGCATACATTCATTCATTCAATTAAATTTTGTAATGCAATGTGTACAGAACAAAAGCATGGCAGCAGACAAGATTTTTTAAATTAGGGTCACTCATAACCATCTGGTTTTTATTTTATACCTATGCAACTAAATATACACCATAAAGACCTCCTACTTCACATCTATTCATTAATGAAGTAATTACTTAAATCGAATTACTTAATTATGTAAAAAAACTATATTATTAATAAATTAATAAAAAATAAATAAATAAACAAAACATTTATTCGTTCATTTTTCTTTTAGTGTTCATTCAAATGAAAGACTTTTCCTGAGAGATTTCGTGAATTGCGTTGCGGGATCCAGTGGCGGACGTCTGGCCCAATGGCTTCAACCCGGGAGCAGAGTCGACTCGTCAAAATGCCAGGTTTTATATTCCCGAGAAGATTTAAGATGCGGATGGCCTGCTATCATCACTATAGTAACCAGAGACCAATACTCTGATTTGGTACACGTACCAAACATGAAGGTAAAAATCGAAAATCGAAAAATTGGTATTTTTTGTTAATTCTATTATGTTTTATGTTAGGTTGACGTAAAAGCAACACCAATTGATAAAATGGAACTTGGAGATGATAGCGGTAGAAAAATGAGGAGAGTCAGTCAACCCGATCCTTTGACTTTTGGAGGTCTTCCTCCTCCTCCTTTACATCATCCATATGAACCAACAATAAAAGAAAAAATGTGTTTCCATTCTATTACAGTCATGAAGGTACTAATTTATATCATACTCTCGTTCTTTTACTAAATCGTTATTTTTTTTAAAGCCATATCAAAATTACTCGTTCGAAGAGTTACGCTATATCTCACCTCCAGTGAAAAGGTTTAGTGAAAACATGTTGGTAAGACCAAATTGCGATGGTACTTACAGCGCTACCTGGACCCCAGCATCAGTAGGTTGCTACTCCATTGTTGTCAATATTGATGGTTACGAAATGGAAGAGGTATTTAATTACAATTTTCCTAACTTTTAGTCGATAATTTTACCTATTTTAGATATTTAAAGTGGAAGTGGTAGAACCTCCCCAAGGCATGACGCCACCAAATCAAAATTTGGCCAAGAAAACAAGTCATCAACCAAACAAACTAAGAAAGTTTGTTGCTAAATATTCTGCCGGGCTTAGAGTCAGAGCTCATCCTTCATTACAAAGCGAACAAATTGGAATAGTACACGTAAATGGAACCATAGCATTTATAGATGAAGTAAATATATAACAATATATTTTGGTGTCTTTGGAAATCTAATTCTATTTTTATTCAGATTCATAATGATGATGGAGTTTGGTTGAGACTATCAGCAGATACAATACGACAATACTGCAATGACGCATTTGTAGAAGCTTGGTGTCTACAATACAACCAACATTTAGGTAAAACTTTACTTCTGCCTGTCCAAGAACCCAAAACCGTATTGGACCAAGTTATATCCGATGCCATAATGAGAAATACTCCACAGATAACCAGGTATATCACCGTGTAGATAACCGTTTATTTGCAATTTTTAAATTTCTCATTTCAGACCAAAATCCAACTGCACCAAATACCAAGTTATAAAATGCGGAGCTTCCGGACACAACATAAGAAGCCATCCAAGCCTCAAAGCTCCTCCTATAGGTATGCTTATTCTGGGCAACAAAATAGGGGTTAAAGAATATATAGTCAACTCGGACGGTTGTTGGGTCTTGCTGGACCAAGCGACCAAAGACCAATACTGTTTTAACACTGAAGGGGATGCGTGGTCTTTGGCGATGGGCCACAATAATGTTCTGTACTTGGGAAACCTCATAGAACAATTAGCGGCAGGACAAATACCTGCTAGGTCGCCGGAATCGCTCCATTTATTGAAGAGGGGTTTTGATTTTTCGCAAAAACCTGTAGAATCGAGTTTTTCCTTTGCAGATTCTTCCAATGAACTGTCAGAGGAACCGGTGTCGACGAATCCTTTTGTTTTTGGTGAAAATTATCGACCTGGGTCACCAAAATTTCCCAAAAGGGAAAACACAGATAGTAGTGGCATTCAGAAGTGGTTCAAAGTAGAGGAATCCAAAAGGTATTTATATTGAGTGATAACAAATATGATTTTAATATTTTAACTTTTAGCGATTTTGTTGGAAACAAGGACAAAAAATACGTTTTAGAGCAGCAAGGATCCAATGGTAATGGATCTACGCCACCTGATACTCCTAAACATAAAAGTGGGGGTTACTCGCCAAAAAAGTCGAGTTTTTCATGTAAGTAATTTTTAAAAATAATTATTTAAATATTATTTGTACATTTATTATTTTAGTGAGAAGGGACAGCAGTTCTTCTGAGGGTCCTTGGGAGGTACCAACACCTTCAAGAGGTTCATTTTCCTCCCCGAAGAAACCATCAGTATGTTTAATTATTATGTTTTAAATATGTTTATAATTTAATGTTCTATTTTAGGAAGAAGATCCAAATTTCAGAAAACTAACGCAAACAGGCACTCAGACTTCTCCTGAAAACGTAAATAATTCACCAATTAAAGGGCATTTTTCAATAGGAACACTTTGCAAAGAAGAGAAGGTATCTCCAAAATTATCTAGAAAAGATCGCGTTGGTGGTAAAGTTCGACCAAAAAGAGTTATTTCGCCAGCAAATGTTCACAATGTGCCCAGCAAAGCAAGCTTTCCCAGCAGTGAAGTTGCAAAGGAGGCAATGAGTCCAACTGTTGCAGAATCTTTAAGGGCTACGTTTGCTGCTTTCCTTTGGCATGAAGGTAAGTAATATCAATATTATAGCCATTATCAACATTCAATAATATTTTATTATTATAGGAATTGTTCATGATGCTATGGCCTGCGCCTCATTCCTCAAATTCCACCCTACTCTTCCCAAACAAGGAGCTTTAGTTGTAACCAGACATCAAGAATTTCCTGTAGATAAACGTAAGCAGGCCCTTACCAAAGAAGAAAAAGCCCGTCAACGTCATTCCGTCGAAGTTAGTAATGCAGATCACTACTTACACATCAAACCATCCACTTTGGAAGCGCTTACTAGATCGGCTGCAAACGCTAGCGCCAATAGAAACAGAAAGAAGATGCCCGATGGAGTAATTAAGGAAGAAACAGAGCAGGTGTATCAAACCAAATCGATACTGCCACCTGCTTTAAAGTCGCTGGTTATTTTGTGGGAAGAGCTGACTTCTCAATGTTTGCAAGCCATTTCTCAGCAATTGATCGAGACTAATAGCGAAAAACAGAAGAGAAATGAGAAGAATGAAAGTGATAATAATGATGCAAGAGGTAAGAATCTTGTGTTGGAAAGGGAGAGCAGAAGGAATAGAAAGAAAAAAGTGCCATCCAGAAACTATTTAGGTAAATAAAACATTCTTATATTCTACTATTATATGGGTGATTCTACAAAAGTTGGACAACTTGATGTCATCAGTCAATAGAAATATTGAAGTTTAAACGTAAAGTCCTCGTTTTAACTCAAGTGTTGGTAAAAAATTACCTACAGAGCCCGCCCTTTGCACGACAGTCATCTTGAAAACAACGCAAGCGGCGAAGTTGTGGTGAATGCACGTATAGTTCCAGTCAAAATTGAAGACCTTGGTGCAAAAACCGGACAAGTCCATTTTTGTGATAAGCAAACATGTTTTATTTTTTAATTAACACATTTTAACAAATTTGGTGTAGTTCCCATATCTAATAATTGAGATATCGGTATAGGTACCCCAAATCCACCAGCCGCCACATGTGTGGTATTATTTGATTTATAATATGCTCAATGTTGCAATAAATCTTATATTTTCCAATAAATTATGTATTTAATTAGTACTCTGTTATACTCGTCACTTTCCTTGCATTCAAATTTAGAAAACTGTTTGAAAAAGTGACTGGCCCCGTCTGGAACAGTATATTTATTATATTATCTATGTTCTCATAACAAAATACTGTTTAATTTTTTCCCTAAACTATATAAACAAAATGAGGTCAAAAGTTGTCCAACTTTTGTAGAATAACCCATATAACAATGTTTGTATGATTGCAGAAGATATTGGTTTATCCAGCTATTTACATCAATCTGATGGAGATACACCGTGTGAGTTGTGTGGAGACTTTTTTCCTCATCCGGTAACATACCATATGCACCAAGCCCACCCAGGTTGTGGAATACATGCAAATGGTAAAGGATATAATTCTGGAGGAAACTATTGTCTAGGTTGGGCAGGAAATTGTGGCGACGGAGGCACACGTAATAAAAAATATTTTTAAATTCATAGATATTTTTAAATATTGAAAAAATTTTAGCTGGTAGTTCATGGTATCTTATGTGCGAAAATTGTCGTGATAAGTATATAAAGTCCATACGTCCGGGAAAACATAGGAAAAATAGAGCACTACATCGCAGAAAGGCTGAAGAAATGAAGCTTCTCTCAACACCGGGTCCAATATTGGAACCCCATTTAATTATTAAAAATAACGCAATGTTTTTATTGGATCTCGCCAGTTCAGCGGACACTAATATTGGTAGTCAAATAAGAAACTCTACAAGGTATACAAACACATAAACTTTTTTGTGATATTAAATTCCAATTAATGTACCTTAATTTATCAGTTTAATGCCATCTGTATCTGAAAACCATTCGCCGCCTGATGCTACCGGACCTTTTGCGCCTGTCCCACCCTTCCAATGTTTACAAGCATTAGAAGCTAACTTAAGCAAAGATGAACCATCGTTCTACGAAGAGGTTTTAAGACAACAGATTACTCCGACTGGGTTTAACTCTGGACTATCCAACTACCCTCAAAGGGTAAGAATTAAATAATTCCATAATAACTTTTTAATAGGATAATCTTTTGCAGCCTCTATCAGATATATCGGATAACCTTAACTTTAACAAAGGCTTAAGATTCCATAGGTCAGTTTCTATGGGGACAAATGGTATTCCTTGGTGTAAAGGCGGCCTTGATGGTAGAGTTATTATGATGAGAAAAAGAAACAATAGCAGCAGTGAAATTGTTAATGGTAAAAATACTAAACTATGCAAAACTTTTATCATAAACAAATATGTGTTTTAGATGGAGGCACATCTTTGCTCTGTAATCCGTCATCAGCCCTTCAAAAGTTGGTTCCAAAGAAAGATACATCAAATGATAAATTGGCCGTGGAACCGCTTAATTTGGAAATAAGTCCATTAATGGAGAGACCAGTTTTACAATTCCTTTTTGAAAATCACGATTTAGAGTCCATGCAACTAGCAATGAAACACGCTTTAAGGAAAGCAATGTGTAGGGTGTATGCAATGCAAGCTCTTAACTGGTTATTGCATTCTGTTACACAACCAATCTGCCTACACGATCTTTTGTGGTGGTTTGTTACATCACTTACTCCCGTAAATATAGAAACAGAGTGCGAAGAGGATAACAGACCACTAAAAAAAGTTGAAGATCTGGTAAGCGTAATTTTAACAATTCAATCAAGCAATAATACCATTAATATAATAAATAATTTTATAGGATACCTACGTATGCGAGCACCCCCTCTCAGATCTAAAAATTGCTGGTGATTCCGTACATCCATTGCCCAGTACTTTCCACGCCCTTCTGCAGACTATCGCAGACATTATGGTTCTTCTCCCTATTGGTTCATCTTTACAGCAAATGGCAGTGCGTTGCTGGGGACTGAAATTTGAACCATCTGACCACAGTTTTTTGCATAGATCACAAGTTTTCAGCAACATCAGCAAAATTTTGTCTAGAAGCGAAGAAATGGAGGACTGCACTTTGTCCATGCATGAAAGTCATCAGCATCTATCGCAAAGTAACAACATTGTGGAATCGCTGAAAGATTTAACATCCTCTGTGGACATTAAGGCTTCGAGTAGACAAGCTATGGTGGGTAGTTTGACTGATAATTCTACTGAAACGTTCTGGGAATCCGGTGATGAAGATCGAAATAAAACTAAGAGTATTACGATTATTTGTCCTCAAGGATGTCATCCATATATTGTTTGTGTACATATCGATAATTGCAGAGATTTGGGCGTAAGTTATATGTAGATAAGGATATATTTTATATATTCCTAATTTCTTGTTGTAGAATAAAGTGTCCACTATTATTTTTTACTCTGGAGCAAACGCTGATGAAGTATTAAAAATTCGTACTATGGAAGTTGAAACAAGAATTTTAGGAGGGTGGTTTAATTGCTTGATACCAAGTAAGATAATTAAACATAATTTTTATACTTGAAAAAGGACAACTTTGGTGATATGTTAAACAAATGTTAGAAATATTTACCAACACCAAAACAAAAGTGCTTAAGGTACTTTAAGCGTGTTTTGTTTTGGTGTTGGGGAATATTTATAATATTTGTTTATATTTTTATAGTTTTTTATTGCTTTTAAATATTTTAGATGTAAATGATAACGTCATTAGATTGGAATTTAAAGGGCCAGACAATTCCGTCAGGATCCGGCAGATTAAAATTCTTGGCAAACTTGAAGCTGAGACTTTAAAAGTAGGAAAGCAGTACAGCGCTTTAACGATTCAGCAAAGAAACTGCGAAAGTGAAACCCTTAGAGTCTTTAGATTGATAACATCTCAGGTTTTCGGAAAATTACTCCTTGGTGAAGAAGGAGCTGTGAGTAGTGACAGTGGTTCTATTATAAATAATGAATTTCCTGATGGTATTGAAGAAAATAACGACTTAAGAGAGCATATGGTTGGAATTTTATTCAGCAGAAGCAAATTGACGCATTTGCAAAAGCAAGTTATTGTACACATAGTTGCAGCAATACGTAAAGAGACGGAAAGGGTGCACGAAGAATGGAGAACAATGCTGTCCTCCGATTTCTCTAATCAAAGTTTGGAGATCAGCAAAAGTTCTGATACTTACTGTTTCGAAATGTTGTCAATGGTTTTGGCTTTGTCAGGAAGCAGTGTGGGGCGATTCTATCTGTCACAGCAAAGCGGTTTACTTTGCGACGTTTTAAATTTATTGCATACAGGCAGTGCCAGGGTACAGAGACAGGTTACGTCTTTACTACGTAGAATGTTACCAGAAATTTCTCCGGAAACTTTTGCTAAAGTAACAGGCGTTGTTTATTTGCCGCCGAAAGATTTTAGTATTATTTCTGTGACCAGTAAGGAAGCCAGTTCGTCAAGTAATAATAGGTCTGGAATACTAGATGTTTTTTTGAGCATCATAGCTAAAGCTTTGACTTTGCAAGTTAAAGTAAAGAGTAAAAATGGCGGTGGTTCAAACTTGAAGGAAGTAAGCACGGTGACTCTTGCTTCATCTATATCGCCACGGGATAATTTGGGAAGTCAGTGGAGGCTTAAAGGATATGTTAATAGAAAATTGGCGGAAGTTATCATAAACCTTATAAAGGATATGGCATCTGTAAGAATTATTTTGAAATGCGTATGTATACAATATAATAAAGTTAATTCATTTTATCATTTAGGGAAAACTATCTGAAAGTTGGGCAAATATAACCAAAGGAGCTATTGCCGAAAATATTTTGCATCTTACTCAGTTAACTGAAGAAGAAAGAGTACCAAGTGTATGTGTTAAAACACCTACGTTATGGTTGGCTTTAGCATCATTGTGCGTTTTGGATAAAGATCATGTGGAGAGATTATCTTCAGGTAACACTTTTGGACATTCTGACAATTTGAGGAAGATTTATGAAATTTTTAGACAGTTCTAAGACGATTTTAGGGTGGTTTTAAACAGTTTTAGGACAGTAATAAGGCAGTTTGAGACATTTTATACAGTTCCTAAACTAAACATTTAAAACCAATCAAAATACGTGACATTACTTTGTGATCGCGATAAATTTTTAATTTTTTTACTAAAGTTGACAAAATTAAGAAATGAAACTCATTCAAACAATGCACCCCTCAATATTGCACACGCTTTAACCTAAAATCCAAATACCTTTTACGAATCTCTTCAAGGATCAACGATTAAATCGCATTCCTTATCCTATCCCATAGATCAAGACTTTGCGGAAGACGATTCACTAAACTCCGTGTCCAACTATTCCCAAACAATTCAAGCGTTGTGTGCAGGACAACCATGTTGTTGAAAAAACATACGCAATAATTTAATCTCCCTGATCATTCATTTCATTACTAAAAAAATGTTTCCAATAGTTCAGATTCAATATACCATCAATAAAGTAAGACCCAATAGCTGGCCATACACAGACGTTATTGCGCGCGGTTTATCGTTTTATCTGCAAAAATATATGGAAAATCATGTACGTGAGTGAGTATCGCCTCGCGCAATGATAGAACGGGAAGGTATTTCAGACGTGGTTTCCTCTGGAGTGTGGCGTACATCATTTCAGCAGTGTCCACACGCCACATTCCGCGTCACGGTTTACCTTTGTTTGGCGTTTCACGTTGAAAACTTGTACATGATCACATGCAGTTTCAAACGATTCGATAAATGAGACTTTTTGCCCACTCACATACGATTTTTCTTTTAAAACTGATATACCACGCGCAATCACTTGCTAAATCATTTGAATACTTTATCAAGTGTATGGAACATGACGCTTTTTATGCCATGCCGTTCTTTCGTGCATACTAACCGCTACATCCCAACACGCCACGATAAACCGCGCGAAATAACTTCTGTGTATGGCCAGCTAATGATTCCATGATAAGTAACTGAGCACCAAACATTCACTTTTTTGAAATATTATTTTGGATTGAATTTGAAAATTACTATTTTCTTCACTCCAATACCTACAATGCTGGTAAATGTGGAATCGCTTTAGAACACAATTAATTTGTAAAAAATTTAATTAATAAAAAGCCAAAGACAAGAATCTAGACTTTTGGCTTCGTTACCATTTTACAAGGTATACCTGAATTTTGGCTTAAATAGCCTAACTTTGGTTTTCTTAAAAAATTCTGAATAAGCGATTTGCTTAACATCACAACCTCTAAAGATCTTTTTCTAAGAGACAAGCGAGGATTTTGTCGTAATGATTGATATTACGTCCAAAAAGAAAATTCGCTACTAATTTCCTAGCGGCGCCACATTGTAAGAAATATTAGTTTGTGGACATTTCTGATGAAATTTTTGAATAACACGGTAACATTGGATTACATAAATTTTTTACTTTATAGTTTTGGTATATTTTTGGCGATAAATTGAAAAGTAAAATCTTAAACATGTCAATAAACACGATAAAAAAAATCATTTTAAGAAAAATCAAAATAACCTTATAAAATAAAAATGATGTGTTTCAAATTCTGGGGGTTTAAAATCAAACAAAAACTTTTATTAGGAATGAAATTCCATATTTATATTACTAATTTTCAGGTCAATGGAGTAATGCAGAAGGTCCTTCGCCGCCTCGTCCAACTTGCACCAATCACGATGACGGAGAAACCAACGCAGTCATACAGTGCAATACATGCGGAAACTTGTGCCCGGATTGCGATCGATTTTTGCACTTGCACCGAAAAACCAGAAATCACCAAAGACAAGTGTGTAAGGAAGAGGAGGAAGCCATTAAGGTCGAACTACACGAGGGCTGTGGACGTACTAAGTTGTTCTGGCTTTTGGCGTTGGCGGATTCGAGGACTCTTAAGGCTCTTGTGGAATACCGTGATGGAGGTACACGTACTAAAGCTGCTGGTATAAGTGGAATATGTCGTTTTTGTGGAACAAGTGGAAATTCAGGGATATTGGCTATCGGGAATATATGTGCTGATCAGGAATGTCAAGTAAGTAAACAAGTTTGATATAAAAAATTTTACCAAGGTGGGATTGTTTTAGGAATTTGGAAAATATGCTTGTCAAAAATTGCTTAGCTGCGGACATATGTGCGGTGGTGTTCTAGGAGAGAAAAACTGTTTACCTTGTCTTCATGGCTGTTCAAAGGAGTCTAACTTAAAGCAGGATTCAGATGATATGTGTATGATTTGCTTTACTGAAGCGTTGTCTTGTGCTCCAGCTATACAAGTAAAATATATATATATAAAATAAAACAATAATAAAACAAACTTTTAGTTGAAATGTGGACACGTTTTTCACTCACACTGTTCCAAGGCTGTGCTAATGAAGAGATGGAATGGTCCAAGAATAACTTTTTCATTCTCTTTATGCCCAATTTGCAAAGTTGAAATGGATCATGATACTTTGGAAGAGTTTTTAGTACCAGTAAGAGAATTGTACACCGATGTTCATAGAAAGGCACTTATGAGACTCGAGTACGAAGGATTACACACCGTTGAAGCTATAGTGACCTCCGGTGCCAGATTCTTTAATGATCCAGCTGCATATGCCATGGATAGATATGCGTATTATGTTTGTTATAAATGCAACAAAGTAGGTTTAACACTTTAAAAAACAAACATTTCATAAACCTCAAACATTTTTAGGCTTATTATGGAGGCGAAGCTCGTTGTGACGCTGAAATGGGTGAAAACTACGACCCGACAGAGCTTGTTTGTGGAGCTTGCTCTGATGTAGCAAGGGCCCAAATGTGTCCCAAACATGGCACTGACTTCTTGGAGTACAAGTGTCGTTACTGCTGTTCTGTGGCCGTGTTCTTTTGTTTTGGAACGACGCACTTTTGCAATTCTTGCCACGACGATTTTCAAAGGGTTACCAATATGACAAAGGACGAGTTGCCAATCTGTCCTGCAGGTCCAAAAGCGAGGCAGATGGAAGGGGACGAGTGTCCTTTGCATATTAAGCATCCTCCCACTGGAGAAGAGTTTGCTTTAGGTTGCGGAATTTGTAGAAATGCTCATACTTTTTAAATGAAGTAATAATAAATGTTATACAATTGTGTAACTGTATCCAATAAGTATTTATTGTATAATTTAAATTACACTGAGCAACAATTATAAAAAATTACGGGGATGCAGTTTGGGTGGTCGATAGTACTATTTTTGTAAAACAAAATCTTTAATGTATTGGAACTTTACTTTCACATTTTAATAAATAATAATAATTCAAAATTAGTTTAATAATTATAATTATTTAAATATTTAAAATGTAAAGTATTATTGGTTGTCTATAGGCAACCCATAATACTTTACATTTACTTACAAAGCAGTGGTATACCACTGCTTTTCTAATCTATGTTCCTTATAGATTAAAGAACTAACAGTAGTTCCTTTCATAATTTAATGATATCAGTAATAATCTTCCTTCCAAATACATTAAAAGTAATAAGTATAATTGGGTAAGTTAATACAGACAACGCGAATTGTTGGTTAAGTTTTGTTCTACAAAAATAGTAATACTATTGACCCATCCAGACTGTAATTTCTGTATTGTTGCAGTTTTATTTATTCACTACGCATGTTTCTATAATACCTAATACTCGTTAAAATAAAATATTTAGAGTAAAAGTCATTGTTCCATTTATCACTTACCTACATTTTTACTTCTCATGACTATCGTTTATTTTGAGACTTAAATTAATTTGAGTCTTATTTTTTTTGATTATAATAATTTAACTAACGATAAAATCACCATTAGCACAAAGATATTCGTTTGATGATATTGGGCCAAAATATCTTTCGTCAGATTTTTCTAGCATGGTCCAATATTGAAACCCAACATTAGCCCAAAGTTGTTTGTTCTTGGGTTATGTAGATCCTGAAGAAATCCTCTGCACTCACTCGATTAACTTAGCCATTATTTGTTACTTAGCAGATCAGCACAACTTTAATCATTGTTTAGCTGTCATCACTAAAGATGGAATATTTAGGTACTAAAAACTGAAAAATAGGTAACTAAAAAGGTACTCAAAAAAAGCATTTTAGGTAAAAAAAACATTAAAAGTTCAAGTTTCGTTTATAATTTTGTTTAGCCGCATACCCAAACACAGAACATACCCACAATAAACTATTTATATGCAATAAACTGTGTTTCACTGAGTGACACTCACTACACAGAAGTTCTATGACAGAACATAAGCTCACTACAAAGAAGGTAACTGTAAAGAAAGTTGCACGCCTGGATAAAATATTGGCGCAAAATTTAAAAAGAATACAAAAAAATAAAATAAGTAAAAATACGTAAAAATAGGTAACAAATATGTGAAAATAAACTGACAAATTAAAAAATGTGAAAACAAGTTAAAAAAATAGGTAACAAAAGTATAAAAAAGGTAGTTTAAAGCAAAAACCTCCAAAAAAGGTAAAAACAAGTTACGTTCATATAAAAAAAAATCTTTTAAAATACATTTTGGTATTATTGGTTTTCAAATAGTTACATCGGTTGAAAAAAGGTAAAATAACTAAAATCCCATCCCTAGTCATCTCCATTAATTAAAAGCAGTTATGTTTAATATTGGCCATTTTAATTAATATTTTTATCCCATTCTGGGACATCCTTAAATGAAATCCCCGGGATATCTCAAAAGGTCGACCTATGGACGTCCTCTGGACGTCCTTATAGGATCATCCCAGTCTGGAACATAAGGCTGGTCCAAGGATGTTTGTGCTTTCTGGAATTGGCAATAATATATTGGATAAACATTTTTCGCCAATATAGGACTAACCTTGGATAAAAATTGGTAATAAAAAATTGAATAACCAATTTACGCCAATATAAAGCCAAACTTGTATAAACATTGGTAATTATATCTTGAATTATCATTTTATGCCAATATAGGGCCAACCTTGGACAAACATTGGCAATGATATATCGATGACTTTCTGCCAAAGTATAGCAAGAAACATAAATGAAATTTCGGGAATTGAAAACAATTTTTGTTTTAAAGTCTGTTTTAAATTAAATATAGTCTTATGATTTTATTACAAGTAAATAGCTTATAATTATATCTATTTACTTGTTATAAACCCCACAGGTTATACCTATATGGTCTGAAACAGACTTTAAAACAAAAAATGTTTTCAATTCTAGAAATTTGAGTTATGTTGCTTGGGATACTTTGGCGCAAAGTCATCGATATTGGAAAATCATTTTACGATAATATAGGGTTAATATTAGGTTGGGCAACCATTTTCAATGATATATTGAATAATTATTTTACGCCAATATAGGGCTAACCTTGGACAACCATATGCAATTAAATATTGAATAATCATTGTACGCCAATATGGGCCAACCTAGCACAAACATTGACTATGATATATTGGATAATCATTTTACGGCAATATATGGCCAACCTTGGATAAACATTTTTAATGATTTATTGGCGTAAAATGATATGCCAATATAGGACCAACCTTTTATAACCATTGGAATGATATATTTAATTATTATTTTATGCCAATATAAAGCCAACACCGGCTAAATAAATTCAATATTCTCCCCAGATAAAATATTGGGCATAGAGGCGCTCCATATAGGACCAATATTTTGTGCTACTGGGGATGTTTAACATTTACAAGGAATGGGAAAAATAGAGCATTCATGCTTAGGGTTTTTGATTAGCTGATATATGACACACCGAAAAAGGTTGTTATGGAAGCTAAGGTTAACTTGGCTGACATGTATTTTCTAACAACTTTTACCTTATTATTTTTAAAAGCATCATAAGAAAATTGGTTATACCTAGCTAAATAAAAAAATCAATTTTAAAAACCTTAAAACTCAAAAATAACTTACTTTTTCGCAACAAAACATTTAAAAAACAGACCAAAATTTTAATATCCAATATAATTATTATAATTAGACCAAAAATATTTGGTATACCATTTACATCTATATTATCTATATATAGATAATATAGATATAAATGTATGCAATTAATAACTAATTAAGGGTGCGTGAGGCGTGCGGCAAAGGACTTTTTGTCTTAGAATTTTATCCCCTATTTACCCCCTTGATGCTGTCTAAGACTTTTGGGTTATAATATAACAATTTCCATGACAAATAGGTTTTTATTCCAATTGAGGAGCATCCGTGCAAAACCGGCTATATCCATTTTAATAAAAAGTTGAGAAAATGTCAAAAACTCCCCGTTTCCTGGCCTTTACAGATGCATCTTGAGTTTTGTGGGCACAAAACTCAAGATGCATTTTTTTACCAGTAAAGGCCAGGAAACGGGGAGTTTCTGCCATTTTCCCAACATTTTATTAAAATGGATATAACCGGTTTTGCACGGATGCTCCTTAATTCCACTATGCTAGTTTTATAATAGATATTTATGTATCAAGGCAGTAAAGTCGTATTTTTTATCACGAATGTGGAAATTATATATACACTGAACCAAAAAGGTACGTAATATTAATAAAAAAGTTATTGGCTTAACGAACTCTGTTTATCGTTTTTCGTCCGATGAACGAGTTAATTGGGCCAACGAATACTTGTACATTAGTCGATGTTTATAATTTTATCACTCGATTAACTTTTTTAATTGGGTTAATAAAAATATTTATTGCTTTAATAAATATTATTATCGAATTGATGGATATGTTTGTAGAATCAATGAACTATTGATGCAATCAAGATATTCGTTCATTTAATCAACAGGTTTATTGATTATATGAAAATATTTATTGATCCAATAAACGGGTTTATTAATCTATGAACACATTCATAAGCTCAATTATTTTTGTTCATAAAATCAACGAACGTATTCATTGATCTAATAAACGGGTTTATTGATCCAATGAACACATTTATTAGCTCAATCATTCAATCAATTCCACTACCTTACTTAATAAAAGAATACATTAAAAATAAATAAACATTTATTGTCAAAATCTATGCATTTAACATGTTTGCCTTGTTTATGGAATGGAAAAGATGAACAGTTGGTGAAAATATACCATTACATATTTTTATACACTAATTTGTAGTGTTGTAGGGCCCATAATACTGCCGCATAACGCCCATCTGAAAATATTGAAATGACTTTCATCCTCAATGTTGTCCAGCAAACATTTTGTAGTCTTTTCTTTAAGGTTACCTGGAACTTTCAAAAAATCAAAAATCCTCTGAAAGCATTCCTCTCAATGGCTAAGTAAGCAGTCGCTCTTGAAAAATGCACCTTCAAAATCCATATCAATCTAAAATAAATCATCTCGTAATATTACTAAACATTCGATTTTTAATTCATACTTCGTACCAATCGATATCCCTTTGGAATTTTGTATTGAGACAATTTTTTCAAGATTTGTCCACAGTTTTCTGCCATTTCTAGATCGTTTAATCTGTACCATGTCTTCCAATAGTTATCATGCCCTTAGGCATGCTTCTCCGTCAGTTTCCGGAACTACAAATTTATATTGATTTAACAAAAGTTTTCTAAAAGTTTTGATCAAAAAAGAATCCAAGTTTTTAAGAATATTGAACACATCCTTTCGAGAAAAAATATTGTTATTGTGTATACATATAAGGCCAAGACAAATTTAGCTGCTTTATTATTCAATATTTTTTTGATATTCATCTATGATGAAGGTACTGGGTTTTTTAGATTCATCATTTAAGATGTTCTTGTCGATCTGGTGAGCAATAATAGGAATATTTTTAGTTGGTTGATCAATTGATTTAAAATACCCTATAATGGTATTTGAACTGGATAGTTGAGATTCAAAAAAATAATTCGTCTCCGCTATCAAAATTGTATCCTTGCATAGATTTTGCAACGATTAACAAACAACCTATTGGCGCTTAAAATGTCTATTCCTTAACGAAAGTGCAAAACGATTATGACGAAAAAGCAATGCATAGTGAAATATGTAAATTGAAATGTACTTACCCTTTGGAATTTTAAACCAGAATATCAACTTAAACTTCACCTTTATATAAAACCCAAAGACATTGATTTGCGTAAATAATAAGTATCGCGAGGGAACCTCTATATCCTTTGCGACGAGATCTTTCTTCGCCTAGGTAATTAGGGACTAGACTGGATAAATCTTATAGTGTCTTTTGTGAAATTTACCTATGTCCCGGCAATTTTTGTTTTAACCATTAAAATCTCTTATATTTTATG